GGGACATAACAGCATTAGTAACATTTCTTTCTTGTACGTACATGTAAGCAAATGTTAAGTCTTTCCTGAAATGAAAATGAATGATGATGAATTTTAAAAAAAATGGTATGGTCATTAGATTCTGTTTTGTTAACCTGACCATTACAAGTTACACACGGCGGGTGTGACCAGTTACCAGGGGACAGCCACTTCTTCTTTGCACCTTATTCCACATCTATTTTTAAGCCCGCGTTTGCTCTGCTCCCATATCGACATATATATTTCATATTTATAACGAGTTTACGGCTAAATTAAATAACAAAATATGGTACATCTATTTCATCAGTTTTTTAAGATATCTCAATCGAAATATCAAAATAACCTTATGATAATAAGTATTTATATTGGAAATGAATTAAAAAGGGAAGTAAAGATCTTCAAGGATAATTAATTCTATATTTAATTATTCATTGAGCATATTCTGTAGACTTTTTTAATGAACCTTTGAATTGCTTAGAATTTTGAATTACATTTTTATATTAAATTCAATTTGTCTACCAGATCATTAAAAATATATATAGGGCTCATGGTAGGTGTATCCGATGAAGAGTGGATACAAGCTTTTATCTAAAAAAAACTGACAAACAAATTGTTATTGGATGATTCTTGCCTGAAAATCATCAATATTTCTTGCAATTCATTAAACCTCACCTTCTGTCATAAAATATCTATCCAAATGTGATTGTCTTCTTTTAAATACCAATTAAATCTGATTTTTACTCACTTTGACCAGTATGCCTAATGTTGTTAAAAAGTATCTCCTCATTCGAAATATCAAAATAAACTTATGATAATAAGTATTTATATTGAAAATGAATTAAAAAGGGAAGTAAAGATCTTCAAGGATAATTAATTCTATATTTAATTATTCATTGAGCATATTCTGTAGACTTTTTTTATTGAACCATTTATATGCGTAGTATTTTGAATTACTTTTTTATATTAAATTCAATTTGTCTACCAGATCATTAAAAAAATATATAGGGCTCATGGTAGGTGTATCCGATGAAGAGTGGATACAAGCTTTTATCTAAAAAAAACTGACAAACAAATTGTTCTTGGATGATTCTTGCCTTAAAATCATCAATATTTCTTGCAATGCATTAAACCTCACCTTCTGTCATAAAATATCTATCCAAATGTGATTGTCTTCTTTTAAATACCAATTAAATCTGAATTTTACTCACTTTGACCAGTATGCCTAATTTTGTTAAAAGTTATCTCCTTACTATGTGATCAATATGGTTATGAATGTTATTATACAAACCTTAATATTTCAGTGTGTTTGGTTCCTTATCGCCTCGTTTCTCTTTCTTGCCCGCTCCATTGGTGCTTCCGAGAAGAAATGTGATGCCGTAACATTTGGCAATGGAACGTATGATTTTAAGAGGGGATGCTGGGAGAAAAGGCCTACGATCCCGAAGCTTGAGGTCGAGTCTAAGTGTCAGTCATTAACTCTCAGGTTCGACTTTCTTCCTCTAATTCCATATTAATTTTTATATTTATACTTTTACGGTGCTGAAACAAAGTTTAGGTTGTGTACGATACCTTCTAATTATATCAATTAAGAAAGAAACAACACATTTAAAACATTATGAATTCAGAATTCAATATATTTCAGGAGAAAACTTCTTCGAGCTTTAAAGTGCAGACCAGGAATTAAGAAGTTTCTTGAGCAAAAAGCATTTGATTGCGAACCAAGGTAAATGCTTTTACTTTTTCAATGTGTAAATCTGATCATAAAATATGGTTTTGAAATCTCGTCCTTGATTTTAAAAAATGAAAAATCTTCCAGCAAAATATCGGGTATTGGACTGACAAACATTTGCCCAAGCGAATACAAGCACGTAACAGCAATAGTAAGGAAGAGTGAAACATGCTACGTTGTATACCCTAACCGGCAATGCATAACATATGCAAACTGTGAAGCAAATGTGTAAGTTTGACTTTTTTTTATCAGCTAAACAGTTTGTCATGAATTTAGTATTTTAAAATCTTATTTTAGCATTTTAATTCACCCTTTTCTCCTTCCATTTTATTTGGAATAAGTCATTTTTCCTTTCAATTTTTACTAAAATTTAAAATAAAATCCTCACAGTGACTGCTCGAAAAATGGTTCTGTAAAAAGTGCTTGTCTGCCTGATCGACACCGCTTCTTCAATGTCTGGATTTTCTGTCCTTACTTTCGTCGATTTGAACTGGAGACCTTGGAGTTACCTCAGTGCTGTACCTGCAGAGAATACAAACTCTGTGAAGATTCAAGATCAGCGACAACCTCTCCTATTCCGATAGCATACTAAGTGTTGAAATGTACTTTGTATACAGTAGCATACAAGACCGTGGAAAAAAAAAATTAATATATCTGATGAAAAGCAATTTCTACATTGGCTCTGCTTTTAGTCCGTGGTGTATGTTTTTGTGCTGTGTATACAATGGTTAAATAAAAGCATCAGCATTCTGTTATATATTTTTATTGATATTTCAAACACCTGTAAAACAAAAATATAATTTAGTTTAGGTTGACGAAATAATGATCACATGTTCCATAACAAGACTTTAAAAAACGAATACTTATTTGTATTCATTCACATAAACAAAGATTTAAATCTCTCTATTTAGCTGTGAGTTCCTTTATGTCGTTATTTCATACGTGATATAATTAACTATGTAGTTTTTGTACACCCCCCCCCCCGGAAAAAAAGCTGAAGGTGCAAAAATAATAATTTCTAACTCTTCTCCTGTTCTGGATCAATGGTTCATCTGGTCTACAAATAGTTCTTATTCTGGATAAATCTGGTAGGAGGAGTAGAGATAAAATTAAAATCAAGGCAAATTTTCAGAAGATTTTTTGAGAGTCAAAGTAATAAAAGATTCAATTATTCAATTTTAAAATATCACAGTTTTTTTCCCAAAATTGAGACCGGTAAAACCTATCTAATGTTTTTCATTTAATTTTGAATAAAAGCATCAAAACTTAATTCGTGCAACTTTTTATATCTTTCATTTGAATACCAGTAAAACTAATTCAAAGGATGATCCCTTTCCTTTTGATTTCATTATCATTATCAAACTCTAAATTGCTTTGTGTAAAAATAATTATTGAATCAGAATCTACAATAAAAAATATACATGAAACATATGGAGATAACGAACAGTATTCAAGATTAAAAGTCCATTATACAAAACAAAATAGGAGCACAGCAAACACGGACCTCCGAAACATCAGAGGTGGTACAGGTGCAATGGGGGAGTAAGTATTCCCATGCCGACCGCTCACACCCGACGTGTGGCCCTTTTCATAAACCGGAAATAATGGGAAAAACCGTCCACAATTCAGTGTATAAGTAATGGACTAGCAATTAGTATGAAAAACGTCAATCAGCATTTGACTCAGTGATGCATTGTATTTGCTGACTAGGTCATTGTTTTGACTTTAGAAGTTACAAAATTGTGACTTTAAACGAGACAGCTGAAATGCTTGTTTCATCAACATGTTTGTCAATAATTTACTTCCTTTTAGAAATTGTTCATGCATAGAGCATGCTCTTGCGCATCGAATCATTTGAGAGATCTAAACTCCGTATTCAGGTGATGAAGGTTTATTGCTGCATAAGTAAGGGAAGTTGGCGATAGAAAAGTTAAAGTTATCACGTTTATCATAGAGCTTCGTTGTTAGATTTCCATTGACGTCTTCTTTTAAGTAAAATATTCAAATATGAAACAGATGTGTCAGACTCTGTTATTTCAATATTACAGGGAATTATCGTATCGACATAAGAATGGAAATTACAAATGTTAATTGACAATACGTCGTCGATATATCTAAATGTCGAGTTGAAGGCCACAGCAAGTGTTTTCTTCATTTCACACATAAGATTATAATATCGCACCCTATTTAGATATCCAAAGAAACTTCTGATGCCAAAATATGCAAGTGTACCAAGCCCATATTCTACCTCGTCGCCGACCACAATATGTGTCAATCTGTTCACTAATACAATTTTTTATGTTTTTCAAGTTGCACAATTACTCAAATTCATGTGTTTATTTGATCTTATCTGTTTCATTCAGCAAAAGATGAAAAATTAATTATAAGTATATGGCGAAAATATGACAACTAAACTGCACTGTAAAGCAAGAAAATAAAACGAATGTTGTATCTACCGTTTCGTTGTTTTTTTTTATGTTAAGGTAACGACGCTTTTATTTTTAGCTCTAACTTGTAAACTGCATTCAACTGGAGCATGCAAATTTGAATAATATACTCTAAGAACCTTTCAAAAAGATGGTCTCCAAATTTTTGGTCTATTTACATTCATTCCTAGGCCCTTAAGAACATGGGAATAATGGTACTTATTCAACTTTTATGCTTACACTGAAAAAGGGAGGAAGAAGTAAAACAATATCTTCCTGTTGGGTCATACTATAATTATTTTTACGAGGGCTTTTCAAAAAATAATGTCCTCGATGCTCAGAAAGAAGCAAAAGACGCTTTCCAATTATTTCGTCTTGGTAATTTAACTTAATATTTTCTTTTAATTAAAATTCATGTCGATAAATTTTTTTATCCATATTCTGATTGTTTTTAGAAATCATTTTTGTGTATGATCCTTAGTATACTGGAAAATGGCAGATCTTATGGTTTCCTGGACTAGTTTCTTTGTTTTGAAATGTGCTTTTTTCAAGTTTGGAAAATGAAACAAGTAAAGCCGCAAGATCTTGCGAATATTGTTAATGTGAAAGAAAATCACTTTCTGTTTATCCCAAAAACTCCTTTACTCTTCATCGCAGGACGGTTAAGGCAACCCACAGAAAAAATATGGTAATGAGGTCATAATGAGGTTTGACGTCATGATAGTTGCTCCGCCCTGATTGATCCTTATAAGGAAATAGAGCTCAAAATAACTATTTACAGATATTTGCAATAATTTGTAACAAACGGCAATATTTCCATGTTTAAATAAATAATTATTAGTGATTTTCTCCTACACAGAATAGCATGTTTTTAAAATAATTCTCTTTCTTATGTGCCGTTTGGCTGCATTCGGCTTCAGCCAAGCGCTTGCACTCGATGACACGGAAGGTTGTTTACATCTAAAAACGTGGCGACATCAGCTGAGATATGCAGTGGATTTTAATGCAATAACCAGACATTCATTAAAGAAAATAGGGATAAGATAAGAGACAAGGCATTGTTTATCCCTAATACGAGAATATGAGGACATTATAACAGAAAATAAAAGAAGACTGAGACGATCTGCACTAGCTCCCTAGATCCATCACTGCAGTGCATTCAGCCCAGGTATGTATACACATGTATGTACAATATGTAGATATGCTTTTGTTAACATCGAAGAAAAAAAGGCGATCGCGAGTGTGTACGTGTTTATTTAGATGTATTACAGTCAGTGAAAAACTAATGCAGTGCAGTTTGTGTCCCCCCCCCCTCATAACAGCCCACATAAAGTTGATCACATTTTTTACTAGAAATTTAAAAATGTAAATGAAGTAAATATAGAGTAGATTAGCTTATTTTCTTTGAGACAACATGTGTAATAAGGGGGTTCAACAGTAATACAAACTTAAACTAAATTAAATTTAAAATTTCATTGTTGCAGTCAATGAGTTGACAATGATTTACTGAACATGTAATGTTGTTGTCTTTTTGACATACAAACATGCTACATAATGTAAAAAAAAATTGTATCATTATGTTGAAGACAAAGAATCTCCACTTCAGATCTATATTTTTAAATTCATAGAATTTCTAAATTAATGGGGAATTAATAAAATATTTATTTTTTTTAGTTTGATTTCATGTCAAGTCAATTAATTTCTGTAATTTATACATACATGTATTTTTTTTTAATTATATGATATATAATACTTTTATTACTGTAGCAGTCAAGAGTTCAAGGCTTGAAGAATGAATAAATACAAAATGCATCCATTTCTCCACAGGGTATGTACACTAAAAAAGCATTTCACATTTTTTAAACCATGCACGTGTGCATGATAATATTTATTTTTCATTTTGGTAAAGATGAAAGAATGTTTTTTTCATATTCTAAATATTTGTTCTTGTAAATGTCAGAGGTTTTAATTTCCCAGAAAAGTTTTGTAACACAACTTTGTTTCCATTTATATTTTAATATAATTTTAATTTCATAAATTCACTACAGAATACATTTATATCATGAATTGTTTTGTCAAATGTAATGTGATTTTATTATACAATGTATTTTACTTAGAATATCTCATAGCATATATAATGTGTTGCAGCTATTCCTAAAGAATTGGAACAATGGATTCATTCAGGCAGCAAGTTAATCCATCATGTAACTAAAGGAAAATGGTATGCTCCATATTAGCTATAAACCAAATTACCATGCAATATTCCTGGCAAACAATAAAATATAACAGTAGAATTGCATACATTTAATTATGCATCCAATGTTTGTGCATGTTTCCATGCATTGTTTTGAATTTAATTCAATTTTAAACACCAATTTACTCTCAATAATGGTATGTTAATACATGCATATCCTGATTTTCTCATACATGTATTTTCAGAATTGATTTCATCCACAAGAACATGAAGTGAAGGAAATAATTTGCAGCTGCTCAGTATTCCTTGTGCAGTCTACCTTAATTTAAAAAGCTGTTTATGAAATAAAATTTCTTCATAAAAAATGATTTGACTTTTTCATATACATGTACTTACTGTACAGGTTTTGAAAAGGCTATTAAGATTTAATAATCTTGACTTGCATATATTTGTGTGGTGGGTGTCAATGTCCATGATCAAGATTTTATTTCCAGCGTGTACATTGTGTTTATTCGTTTTTCTTAATAATAGTAGCTAAAAAGGAGATTAAAGGCTCCCCTAACTGATTCAAAACAGGAAAGTGGACCACCATTTTATTCTGAAGGGAGGGGGGGGGGGGTGAGGGTTGGCAAGTTTTCCCAAGTCATTATTTTTTTTTTTATTTCTTTTCATGTCAATGAAGGACAGGTCTACTAATATTTATTTCCAATAAGATGAAGGACAAATTATTTATTTTCCTCTTCACTGAAAAATGTCTGACAAGCAAAAAAAAAAATAATAATTAATAGGAGGGGGGAACACTGGTCTGGGGCAGATTATTTATTTTTTTATCCAGTCTGGGACATATTTATTTTCAACATTTTTGAGATCTAACCCCCCGCCCCCTCTTTTGGAATAAAATGTGTGTAGCGATCAAATTGGAGCGGATCAAAGATCTAATTTTAATTAGATTGTAACACGTACAACTTAAATCCCATAGGAATTGAAGTTTTGAAAGAAAGCCATGATAGAATCTTGTATGCGAAAAAAATATTTGTATACAAGTGTATGTACAGTAGTGACAGAGGGGTATATAGTTATCGAATTAATTATTGATTGAGGCTATCAATTAATTATTATAATTGAATATTACCATTTTTATTAACAATCGGCGTTTTAGATTACATGCTGCGGCAAATTTTACACCTACATGTAGCTGCATGTGTATTTACACATATTCGAGGAAATTCCGGAAATGCAGAAGGTCTGAAAGACGTCTTATAACATACAAGTACATAATTCATACATTGTATAAAGAACGAAGTCACAAAATAGAAAGTAATATCAAGTGTTTTATGCATACTGTTCGATTTAGTAAAAAGATCCCAGCGCAGTCTGCAAGTATTTAGGCCTAGTTAAATCTACGAGGTAAACAAACTTTATCAAGTACTCTTTCTAAAGAGTTATCTCCCATGCTGGGTCAACGATGCGTTTGAAAACTATATTTAGACTGACTGTACCAAGATGTCAATTTTTAATCAGAAAGTTCAAGGGCAAGGCGACAATCTAGTAAGTAGGTTTTTATTTTAAATTATTCATTTTACTGTATAGTTTTCAAAAAGTGATGCTCATTTCTTTGTAATCCTTTAGGTAATTTATAATTTCCGATGATATTAGGAAAATACCCTATTTTTCATATACTACTGACTGTTTTAGGTGAATAACTTAAATGTATCGGAAAACCAACTGAATGAGCATCATTTTTGCGAAAGTATAGATATATAGGGACAATTTAAAACACTGTGCAGTTTTTTGTTTGTTTGCCTTGCCCTTGAACTTTTTGGTTAAATTTAACATTTCATTTGTTGACCTAAAATCGGAGCCCACGTGACTTTAGAGGGTCACATGATCACAAAAATTCCGAGGTGAATAGCGATGGACATACTCTTCAAGATAACATAAAGCTATTTTAACTAGAGTGTCTTGCCGAAAAATAAAATAGTTAAACATTAATTATATCTTTTTCGGTGACTTTTTACAGAAAATGTTGCCTTAACTGTACTGCGATGACGTGCGGATTTGGACGCTGTCATGAAGATATTTAATGTAGTGAATTCCTGATTCTGGTTCCTTTTCTCATTATCCTTTCGTTTTTTTTTTTTTTTTGCTCTGCAAGAAATTAAACTGCCTCCTCAAAAGTGCATATTTACAACAAGACCATTAATATTTAAGAAAATTGCATATTAATCTGTCTTTCTGATCTTGCAATTCTTTGCTCTTTTCGGACATTTGCTGTTTTTGTCAAGTACATCTTATTGTAAATTTTGTTTTGAGGGTAATGAACAATAGACTCAAATTTCATTATTTGTTTGAATTCATTGAATCGAATTTCCTATGTGTTTTAAAGTTAACCATACATCCTCGGTGATTATTTGTTGAAAATTGGCCAACAGTACATTATACAGTTGTTACAATTTTTGTTGGCATGAACGGTACCCATTTTTGATGTCCATTATATTTTTCTATATTTAAATCCATCTGCACATTTGCCTGTCTTAAGGAGTCTTACGGCAGTTTGAATGAAGCGTTTAATTTTACTCTACGAGGGCTGTTCAATAAATAATGTCCTGAACTGCATGAGATACAATACAAATATCATATGACATTAAACTTGACTTTCTCTCATAATTGAATCTTTAATGAATTTATAACAGTTTATGTGACCACTTTTCATCTCATAGTTTCATTGTGATAGCTGGGAAAAAAGGGCTATTCGAGACACTGCATTATAAATGAATGGTAAAGAATCGATAAAATAGAGTGAAAATAAAAGCTTCATCAAAGCTGCTGTAAAACTTGTTGAAAATCCCAAAGAAATATTCACTAAAATATGTGACATTTACAGCATCCAATTCTTGTTTTATAGACAAATGAGCAGGTGGATTTCAATGATAGAAAATTATATAATGCGCATCAAAAATGGGTACCGTCATTGCCAACAAAAAATTATATCAACTTATTTACCGTTTGCCAAATTTCAACAAATAATACTTAATGATGTAGGATTGACTTGAAGACACAAAGCAAATTTGATAGACATCGCATCGGGGGTATTTTACACTTTTTTAAAGAAATAGTTGACGGTAAAAAAAAAAAAAAAAAGCTCAGTACTCCAAGGTCATCGTATATTTTGTAAAATGTGTGAAAACGATACATCTACATCTACATATTACAGCGTTTCATCAACCCTGATGATTATACGCTGGCCCTGCGCATACGGAACTCAAAATTTTTATTATAAAAAGTATGTGAAAAAAAAAAAAAAACAACTAAGTGCCATAGAAGGTATAAATAAACCTAGTGCAATGAAAAACAATTTACAAACTTGTACATGAAAAATGTGTATTTACATTGCTGAATATTTTTTTTATAAAAAATATTAATATATGAAGTCGAATTCTGACATCTGTCCACCACTTTTTGTGGGAGAGACATCTCACAAGGTAACTGTTAAATCAAAGTCTTATTATTTTCATAATGTATACTTTATATCAGTAATTTGTACTTTATTTTTATATTTTAACAGATAATGGATTGGAACTATTGCTAAAAATCCTCAAAACAAAAATTACCATAAGATGCACTTGACAAAAACATAAGGTTAGAAAAGGAATTATTCACAAAGACAGTTTTATGCAATTTTAATTTCTGGACTAGTTTAGAAAGCAAATTGTTTGCAAAAAATCAAAAGGTTTATTTCTTTTAAATGTAAATCCACTACATTAAATTTCTTCAAAGTTTTTATATACCCGCATCCCCATGAAGAACAAAGAGGTTTTCGGCAGGATAATTAATATTTTTTCACAATAACATTATATGAGATTTTTTTTTTTTAACAATTAAAAAAACACAATCTGTATCATAAACACAATTCTCAATTTATTATATTATTAGATTCTTTTTGAGAGAGAGAGAAAAGGCAGCAGCGAAAAGCGAGAGAGAGATTGGCATGTTAATTCCTTTTCATTAATAAGACTATTTCATTTGAAAACAATTGATTCCACTGATTCCAGTTGGTGTCACAAATGCCTCTTCATCATTTTTATATGCTAAATATTTTTCAGTTTCATCAAAAATATTTGTAATATGAAGTCGCAAGTCTGACATCTGTCATCTATTTATATAAACATTCATACATATTTTCCGAACGAAGCTAATTATTTTATAAAACTTGTATTGTCGATTTGTACTTTATAGCTATAGTTTTAAAGGCATTCAGATTGAAACGCATCTTTTGTTGATAAAGTTCAAAATATAATTTAGAAAAGTCTTTATTCTTTTTGTTTTCTCATTTGTTCTCACTTATTTTAACATGATTAAAGAAAAATGAAGGGGCTTATTTCTTTTAAATGTAAACACTTATATTTACTTTTGCAAATGTTTTTATATACCTACTCTTACATAAAGACAATTGGCAGGAATATTTAACGGTTTTCAGTGGAGCTATATGAGATTTAATTAAAAACAATTAAAAAAAACTTAAGGATGGATACTGAACAGGTATTCTTGAAATTTTTGTCATTGATTAGATTCATGTTATAAGAATAATTTCTGCAGCAGCGAAAAGCGTGTAGTTTTCTTTTTAAGTCATAAGTTTATTCTATACGGCTATACAGAACTTGCCAAGCTTATTGCAGGCAACACAAATGAATTTTACAAATCTAAAACAATTATCAGACATGACATAGAAGTATTTGTACCTGCGTCTAGGTTAAACTTTACATTTATATAAAAGACATTCAAGATGAAAGGAAGAAAAATATATATTCATTTGATACTTCTACAAAATACGTAATGTACTTTTGTGCATGCAAATTAAAGAAAATAATTATTAGCTTTAAAATGTTAACCTCATCAAATACAAGTAATTTTTTATTTACTTTTGAGATGTCGAAGAAGCATGCACTTTTATTTTTCTTTTAAGTTTTATAATTATTCAATTTTATATAAATTTAATAAATATCTGATTTTCATAATGGTATTTTTGCATTAACAGCAACTCAATAAGTTTTAGTTATTTGCCTATCATTATTCTTATCAGGGTGAACGCAGTATATGTACATAAACTGCAAAGATGTATTGATCAGGTGCAAAGGTTCAAGGTAAACTTTTTTTTACAATTTGCTTCTTGCTCACGAAGACTTTACACTGTAATAGTAAAATTTTTGTTTAGACTAAATTGGAATAAAATTTCAGATAATCGAAAAGGTACTGGAGAGAAAACTAGCTTACCTCTAGAAAACAATATGACATAAATCCAAAATTCAAAGATCTTATAACATTTATTTGGAATTTACATTGGTGGATCTGAGAAACCAGAGTATCATTTTAGTATTTGCATCGACATGTAATTTGAACACAATTGCGACAGCTAATTTCATCCAAAATCTTTAAAGTGTGTTTCAGTGTTTATGTGTTTTTCATTTTAATTCAATTAAAAGGTAATGCATGTTGATAATAAATTGATATTAAATTTTCTCATCCGAAAGACAATTGTTTAGAATTCCATTAGGATTTTAGAAAAAAAAATAGAACTAAATGAGAAGAATTTAATTCATTTTCAAAACTAATATGTATAGCACGGCTTGTGAATTTATAACGTACACAAAAATCCGCAATATGCTGAATTATACTAAATATTGTTTTTAAGCATACTTCATATTTTATAATGTATGCTGTGATAAAAAAAATTACATCTATTTCTATTTCCTGTATCAGATTTTCCTAACATCACTATCAGACAAAACTTTATTTTGGGAAAAGTAAATCCCAAAGCTTATTCCATTTGAATCTAACACTTTTGTTGTTGACAAACATCAATTTCTGAAGTGTTAAATGTGTTGATGAAAAT